GGAGGAGGAAGAGGACGAGGGAGAGGAGCAGGAGGAGGAGAGGGGAGAGGATCGACAGAGGAGAGGGAGAGAGAGAGAGAGGGGGAGGGGGGAGGGAGAAATGCCCAGGACCTCCGACGTCCCGTAAACATGTCAGGACGGAGGTGTTCCAACGGTCTCGGCGTCTAAGGCCGTGTTCGGACTCCCGAGGCATTTGGTAATGGTTTCCGTGGAGAAGCGCCTCTTCAAGGCTTCAAGTTCTGGGGTGCGGAGGAGGAAGAGTAGCAGAAGGCAGATAAGGAGGCGGATTGGAATCATCAAATAATAATATATAGAATAATAACCGCCACCCGCGGATAATCAGTGGGTCCCTTCCTTTCCCCACTGAAAGTTGATTAACCCCGGCCAGCACAGGCTTGGTCAGGGAAGAGAGGCGGCCAGGCCAAAATTCTTGAATCGCTTCGCTCATTCCGCCGGCCCATAATGTCGCACCGTGGTCGCCTGTCCGAGTGGTCGTTTGCAGTGTGGAGCTGCGGCGTCGGGAGCTGTGTAGTTGTCGATAAATTTGTTGTTGTTTTTTCATGGGGCTTCTAGGTGTTTGCAGTTTTTTGACGGCTTTGGTGCCATCGTGGGGGCGTGTTACCCGTGGTATCCAACTGTGGGGCCGTTCGAGCCGGGGGAAGAGACATCTTATGCGATATGGGAACCCTCGTGTCGGAGGGTGGCGGGCTTTGAATGCTAACATTGGCTCTGTTATCGTCCTGATGTCCTCTGGCGTTGCGGACACGGGCGTGAAGGAACATTTTCTTGTGGCGTTTCTCTTACCATCTCTGTTCTAATTGGACCCTCCTCCCTACTTTTTCTTTCTTCCCTTCGGTGAGCTAGAGAGAAGGGGGCCGGTAGCAGCGGAGGGAGGCGGCAGTGCAGAGGCGGGAAAAGGACGACGGGGAAGGGGAGCAGGAGGAGCAGGAAGAGGATGAGGAGGAGGAGAAACATCAGGAGGCGCAAGAAGGGATTGTATGGAGGCCTCCTGGGCCGTCTTGGGGCCGTCTTGGGCCATCTTGGGGCCCTCTTGGGGGCCACTTGGGCCCTCTTGGGGCGATCTTGGAGGCCTCTTGAGCCGTTTAGGGGCGTCGGGGAACCGAAAAGGTTGAAACGCCCAAATCTGTCCAAAACCTAAGAAAAAAGCATGGATGTTTGCCTCTTGGGGCCCTCTTGGGAATGCACTTGGAGACCTCCTGGGGATCTTGGAGGCTTCTTGGGTCATCTTGGAGACGTCTTGGGTCGTCTGGAGGCCATCTTGGGCGTCGTGGAGCGATCTTCGGGCGTCTCGGACCTCTCTTGCACCGTGTTGGGGGCGTTCTTGGGGCCCTCTTGGGCCGTCCTGGAGGCCTCTGGGGCCGTCTTGGAGCCGTCTTGGGCCGTCTTGGGGCCTTCTTGGGGGCCTCTTGGGCCCTCTTGGGGCGATTTTGGAGGCCTCTTGAGCCGTTTAGGGGCGTCGGGGAACCGAAAAGGTTGAAACGCCCAAATCTGTCCAAAACTAGAAGGAAAGTACAGTTTTTTGCCTCTTGGGGCCCTCTTGGGAGTGCTCCTGGAGGCCTCTTGGGGTATCTTGGAGGCTTCTTGGGCCATCTTGGAGACGTCTTGGGCCGTCCGGAGGCCATCTTGGGCGTCGGGGAGCGATCTTCGGGCGTCTCGGACCTCTCTTGGACCGTGTTGGGGGCGTTCTTGGGGCCCTTCTTGGGCCGTCTTGGAGGCCTCTGGGGCCGTCTTGGAGCCGTCTTGGGCCGTCTTGGGGCCCTCTTGGGGGCCTCTTGGGGGCGTCCGGGAACCGAAAAGGTTGAAACGCCCAACACTGTCCAAAACCTAAGAAAAAAACATGGATGTTTGCCTCTTGGGGCCCTCTTGGGAGTGCTCCTGGAGGCCTCTTGGGGCATCTTGGAGGCTTGTTGGGTTATCTTGGAGACCTCTTGGGCCGTCTGGAGGCCATCTTGGGCGTCGGGGAGCGATCTTCGGGCGTCTCGGACCTCTCTTGGATTGTGTTGGGGGCCTCTTGGGGCTCTCTTTGGGCGATCCTGGAGGATCAGGGGGAGTGTCCCGGTCGTGTCTCGGGCGTGTCCCGGGCTCCTCTCGGGGTATTTTTGATCCAGGGACCCCCAGGGGCCGCCCCGCGCGCGCGAACCAGAAATACTGTTTACCAGTTGCCGGAGATCTTAGCACGCCTCTGGCCCGTTAGGCCGGCGAATTTATCGTGGGGGAAAAACGAATCGAAGTTGTTGTCTTCTGATGTTGAGTAGCAAGGATTTCTAAGGCTTTCGATCGATTCTCTCGGGAGTCCCATGGATGTCTTAGGGAATTCTCTGGATCTCCTATGGACGCCCATGGGTTTCCAATTTCATCCGATGGATGTCCTAAGGAATCCTATGAATGCCCAGTGGGGTCTTAAGGCAATATTTTGAACTTCGTGGGGGATCTGTTGATTTTCATATTGAATCTTATGGATGTCCGACGGAATTCTATGGGCTGCCTTGGCACATCCATGGGATTCTTGAAGACATTTACCGGGATAGTTCGGACATCCATTTGTTTATTTTGGAAATCTATATGCGTCCTCAGGAATTCCATGGGTTTCTTTGGGGCATCCATAGGGTTCCTTTGCTCACCCATACGATTCCAGAGGAAATGTACAGGAACCCCAAGGAAATGCATTTGGCCCCGTAGGACATCCATCGTTGTCTCAAGGCAAGCCAGACGATTCCGAAGGAAACACATAGGCTTCCAAAGGACGTCCATCGGATCCCTTCGAATTTCCATCGGCTTCTTTAAGCAATCCATAGGATGCCTTAAGACACCCATAGGATGCGACAGGACATATGTAGGATCCGTCTGACATCCATGCCACTCTCTAGGACATCCATCGGAGCTCACAGGACATCTATCGGGTTCTTTAAGACAAATCAATCGTAATCCTTAAGACATCAATGGGATTCTTAAGGACGTCAACAGGAATCCTTAGGACATCCATCGGGCTCCTGAGGCAATTCAATGGGATCTTGGAAACATCCATGGGCCTCCTCAGGACAGCCATCGGATTCCGGAAGAATTCCGTAGGACTCCTTACAGCGCATACAGGGTTCATGTGGACATTCATCGGTTTCTTGATGCTATCCATGGGATGTGACATCCATCATATTCTTGAGGGCACCCAGCATTCGCGGGGAAATCCACGGGAATTCTTCGGACATCGAGCGGAATCTTTTGGAGACCCATAGGATTCTTTAGGACCATCGGATTCCTTACGCAATCCATCCGAGTCCTTAGACAACCCATGCGCTTCCTGAGGACAGCCATCGGATTTCTCAGGACATCTATAGGAAGCCGTTGAAGAACAGTCAGCAAACTCTGATGGAAATGCATAGGAGTCCTTCGGCAATCCATAGGGGTCCTTCGACAATCTATAGAAATCGTTAGGGCATCCACAGGAGTCCTCAGTAAACCAGTAGGATACCCGAGGACATCCGCGGGATTCCGTCGGAAACCCAAAGGATTCCGCTGGCAGTCCGTGTGGTCCCTTAGGCAATCCTCGGGTTCCCTTAGGAGCTTTATAGGATCCCCGCGGAAATGCATAGGAATCCTTTTAGCAAACCGTGCGATTCGTTCGGGACTGCATAGGAGTCCTTCGGACAGCCATGTTGTAATCCGTAAGGTATCCGATGGGCTGTTTTGAAAAATTAGCCTGGCGAAGAACCCAACAATTTTCAGAAGTGAATATCGCAATTTTGAATGCCATCTTCGCCCGCGCCCCTTATGCAGCCACGGATTCGTACGGTTTCAGATTCCATGCATGCCCTGGTTCAGGACGGAATCGCGTGATTGATTTGATAATCGCGAATTGAACCGGGGGGGCGTGAGCGCCACCTCCCCCCATCGAGTCCCCTCCTCTTGGCCCCCCCAGGGCTGAGAAGGACAAAGTTTTACATTGCAGCAATATATATAGATATACATGTGTCTGGTTCTTGGCCCCGTCGTTGACCGCAGCTTCTCGACAACGGCATTAAGGCCGCTGCTATTGTTGCAAGCGCTACGCAAACATTCATGCACGTTGACTGCGACACTGCACGCGTGCATACGCATCAGTACAGGGCAATACCCAATTTGATTATTTGGCGCCGACCTGCTGTCCAGGCCGGGCCGTACGGTCTGGTCCTGGACGCCAGGTCAGTCTAGTCTTGCCATCGGCGGGCTGCCCTGCCAATTCGACCATCTGGTTTTTCCGACCAACCAGTTCACCTGGCGTTGCCAGGAACAATTGAGGAAAACTCGCAAGTCATGTCTTCACTGTTCCTCGCGTCTTGTTTCGGCGCCCCACTCATACAGGGATGCCCGTGCCTTCGTTGTGTGCTGTGCTGCCCCCGCTTGCCGGCTGTTGTGTGCGACCTGCTTATATTAATGGTCGGTGGGACCATGTGGGATGCTCACACACAGAGCGCTTTCGGCAACTCTCCGTGGCCTCGTCTTTTCCTCTTCCTCTCTCTCTTCCTCTGCTGTTCTTTTCTCCTTCCTGCTTGTTGCTCTTTAGTTGTGCTGGTTTTGTTGTTGTGGCCGTCTGTGCCATAGGGGTGTTCACACAACTTTGTAGTTCGCTCGCTCTTTGCAGGCTCGGGCCCATAGGTTGGCACGCCTCTGACGGTTTGGCCATTGTGCACTTCCTTGCCGCCCGGCGAATCTGCTTGGGCATTTAATGTTTGCCGGTGCTTCTCCGGTGGAGGAGCCATGGGCAACGGCTTCCAGCAGTTGGGCACTGATGGACTGTAGTGTTGGAGGGGCTTGGTGGCGTTGTGGTTGGGGGGAGAAAAAAAAATGTCTTCACTGTTCCTCAACTTGTCTTCGTCATATCGCTAAGGGTGCGGCGCGAATTCTTTGTAGATGGGGTGCCGCAGTCCTCGATGAGGGAGGGCTCCGACCCACGGCGCGCCGGCAAGCGGGATCGCCCGGTGACGCTCCCGCGCGTCTGTGCCGAGGTCGAGGCCGCAGCCGCGCTGGAGGCCATGGCGTCGGTCTTATCGTCGGCCATGGCGAGAGGAAACGGCGGCTGAGGAGGAGCAAGCGGGGCAGTCAATGAAACTAGCGCTATTCCAATCAATGTTACACAGCATCATCCAGCGTCAGTGAGATGTACGTGCTGATGCTTATCCTTTGCGACACAGCTGGAGCGATCGTTTGAACAGCGTCTGCTGCTAGCGACTCCGTGCAAGGCAGTCACAACGGAGGTTGGAACCACAAAGGCTTGAGCCATGCCCCCGTGCCTTCCCTCGGGGGCTGCCATCGGTGCACCCCTGGCGCAAGGTCCCCCGGCTTGCTGCGCCGTGCTGGAGTCCTATGCGGGCCCTCCCGGGCGATACTGGGAACACTTCTGGGCCAGGGGCACCTTTGGGCAACATTGGCGTCGCCGCCGCGTCTTGCTTGCATCACTCACCAGGACCTCTCGCAGGAATCCAGGTGCGTTGAGTCGGTCGTCCATCCATCGTCTTGCACGCATGTCCCCCCGCCCCCTCCTCGTCACGCCCGCGTCGCAGCCTCTCCGTCGGATCTCCCTTCCCTCGTGGGCCCCCGCTCCCGGGAGGCCAGCCAGCTCCGGCTGGCCTGCGAGCTCGCGCCGAAGAGGGTGGACTACAGATGCGAGCCGAGGCTGCGCCTAGGGCGGAGGAGGACGAGGAGGAAGAGGAGGACCAGGAGTAGGACGAGGACCAGGAGTAGTAGGAGGAGGAGGAGGAGGAAGAGGAACGCCCGGGTCGGAGGCCCTCGTTATTGCCCCCCCCTTTGCCGAACGAGGACGGCCAGTCCGGCGCGCCTGCCAGACAGGCGCCTGTGTTTCTAATCGCCGAGGTAGAGAGAGGGCCCTGGAGGTTCCCAGATCTCGGTTCCCAGATCTCCGAGGGTATGATTCCTACCGGGGACATGTAACGGTCCAGTTTTGGTGGGATGATTGTGGCGGGAGGTCTCGTCAAATTTCAGAGTGGGTCTCGTCATTTGCATGATGCTCCGTCAGGCCAACGCGAATCCCCCGAACCCGAGTTTTGCGTCTGCCCGAGACTGGGGAGGAGCATTGCGGGCCAACATGGGCGAGGGCCCTGGAGGCTCCCAGATCCAGGATCCCAGATTCTAGGCCTCCCAGATGGGTCCCAGGTGGGGTCCAAGAAGATGGGGTCGATGGATCGCGCCGCATCGCCGATGCATCGCCGATACAGCTTGATGTAGAGCCCGATTTTCTCCACGGCGACGTCGCCGATACATCTCCGACGTCGCCGATGCATCACCGATGCATCACCGATCATCGCCGATGCATCGGCAATGTGGCGCAGTCCTCCGACCCCGCTTGCTCGGACCCCATTTGGGAGGCCTTTCTACAGATCTCCGTCGATCTGATTCCTGTCGCTTCGCGGGGTGCACGTCCGGAGCACGTAAAGACTGGGCGTTGGGTGGTTAGCCTTCACCTGGGGCTATGCGAGTGCCACGGGGGGCGGATGCGCCCACCCCCGTTTCGGCGCAGGGACGAGCGTGCGAATGTCCCCGAGAGCAATGGGCATTCGGAGCGGCATTCAACGCGTGTCAGCCCAAGGCAACGCCAAGTTCAAATTCCAATGAGCATAGCAACAATGCGCCATTCGTACTTACACAATTCCGCGGGTGTCTTGGTGGTCTCCTTGGACCGGTCTGGAGCTTCTTGGGGGCCTCTTGGAGGCTTCTTGGGGGCCTTTGGGGTTTTTGGGGGGCCTGTTTGGGCTTCCTTTTGGCCGTGTTGGAGCTTTTTGGGGGCCTCATGGGCCGTCGTGGGGCGCTCTTGCGCCGTCCGGCCCTGTCGGAGGCCGTCTTGAAGGCCTCTCGGGGTAGCCTTGTGGCTCATTTGCGGTCCTCCTGGGTGGCTTTCGGGACTGAACCGTCTTGGGGGTCTCTTTGGGGCAGCCTGGGTCCCCCTGTGGCCGTCTTGGGGCCCTCCTGGGAGCCTCTGGGGTCGTTTCGGGGTCATCTTGGAGGCAGTCTGGGCCGTCAAGGGCCCGCGAGAGTAGCAAACGGTGAACACGCGAAACTGTCAGAATACTTATAGACAAATCAATGTTTCGGGCCTCTGGAGCAGCTCTTGGGGGCCTCTTGGCCCCTTTATGGGGCCATTTTGGGCCGTTTTCGGGCCGTCTGGGCCCGTCGCGATATCATCGTAAGCCGTTTTGAGGCCCTCCTGGACCCCACCAGTCTTAAAAGGCCCAAGTCATGGATGTGCCTGCGCTTTTTTTGAGGCCCACAAAGCTTCGGCTAGAAGAGGTCGACGGAGGTGGAGTAAATCCTGGGACCTCGAAGGGTGTGCCCCGCAGGCATCTAAGATCTTGCTCGGCCACCGCCTTGGTTCAAGGCGGCGCCTCCCAGTTTGCCAGCGTCGCCTGTGGCGCTCGATCTGAGGCGCTCGGTGGAAGAACAAGTCATTTCTCCCATCCCATCGCCACCGTTCTCGCACCTCCTACCGTCACATCATGTCCTGACATGCGGTTGCGAGCCCATTTACGACTTGGTAGCGAAGCACAGTGGCGAATCCATCACCATTGCGCTATCTCCGGCCCGAGCCATACGCGCGCGAGAAGACTCGACCGCGTCGCAGGAGGTTTTCCCTTCTCCATCATCTACCTGGGCGAGTTTGTCTTCGAGCGCGCGAGGAACCTCGACCGCTATTGAGGCGACCTCGTCGACCACTCCATCGTCGAGCGCGAGCGCTGAACCTCGGCCGCCGCGTGGGCGAAATCGCCTGCCACTTCATCGAGGAGCGCGCGAGTGGCCTCGCAGTGGCGGTCCCTCGTCTACCACTCCATCGTCGAGCCCGCGGGGAACCTCGACCGCCGCCGCCGCGACGACAACAACCTGCACCGCGACTTCTACAGCCTACGTTCGCGGAGACACGACGGACCCTTACACCTCCGAGATCGAGGAGAGCCGATGCGCAAACATTTTTCTGGACTTCTTGTCGCTCGCGGAAACGTGATTGGCGCCGTGGCTGCGTCACGGCGAGCCACTGCCTCCTTTTCCCCAACCGCCTCCAGTATCAGAGCCTTGCCATATGCGGGGTGCGTGGCCATCGCGATAGGCGTGTTCATCGGCCGCGCGATGTGGGGGCTGGAGGGCGGCCAGACAGACTGCCCCATCTGGGACCCTGCGTGAAATGTGTTATACCGCGCTTGGACTTGCGTGGCACGCGCTCGGCTCGACGCCCATTCACGGTGGATGACGCCTTCCCAGCAAGACGTCAGTTCGAGCTCTCTGCGCCCCGCCCAGCGAAGTGACATCGCTTCTCCAGCCGGTCAACGGCGCGATGCCTCGGGCCCAGCAAGACCGCGATAGCGTGCTGAGGGCCATCCAGCGCCGGCGGCGAATCGCCTAGCGCGTGCTGGGAAATATCGCGCAGCTTACGGGCAAGGGCGGCGGCAGGTCCGACGCCCGCGCGGCGGGCGCTAACTTGCTGGTTGGCGACGGGCAACGCGACTTCCAAGCGCGCGCCCCAGCGGCCGACAGGCGCCGCAAGGAGCAGGGCTGCCTGGGCGCCCCCAGCTATCGCGACGACACCATCGGCCGCGCCGGCGGCTGCTCTCTGGGGCAATCCGACCGAGGAAGATGACAGCGGCGCTGATTCTCTCCTTCCATATAGACCAACGCGCCGAATAACGTTTTCCACCTCGAGCAGTGCCGCAACGCCGCTGGCGGCGCTGCATGCGCGACCCAGCGCGCCTGTCAGCCGACGCGCGGCGCCGCCCCTGAAGGGCGCGGGAAAAGCGCCCGGACCCGTTGCGGCGCTGACGACGACGCCAGCAAAATGTGATCCCGCGGCGGCCGCGGCAATGGCTGGCGGGGGCGGCGCCTGGGACAGACGGCGCCCCCTTGGCGAGGCGGAGGTTGGCGACGCAAGCTTTTCGGCCAGGACGGCCAGATCACGGGATGCCGCATCTGCGGCTCGACCCGACACCTCGCTCGATTCTGCCTTCAACCAGCAGGGCTAGGCAGCGCCCCTGCCGCAGACGCACCGCTCGCGGGCGCCGTGGAGTACGTGGAGCTGCCGGAGCGCAACCAATTCGTTTCCTGCAGGCTGGCGAGCAGCACCTCCGCCGAAGTCCCCGCGACTTCATGGGGTGCTGCCGGATCTGCCAGAACTGCTACATCAATGATTAGTTGGTGGGAGTACGACCAAATGCATTTGAAACAAGGGAGGACGAGGCACTATTGCCACGTTCCGTAGCTGATGTGATCGGGGGGGCCCGACAGTTTTGAGGGGTCAGTCCCGAACGCGCCCATGGCATGCGCTGCGAGGTCATTGACGGCGGCGCCGACGCGCCGGGCCCAGTCGCTACGTCGCCGCGACATCGCGACCCGCGACCGCCACGTCGCGAAGACGAGCCCGAGGTGCTCCATCTCAGCTCTCCGAGCACTTTGTCACCGTCGCAACGCTTGTGAGGCATGGCGCCGGGGGGGCGATTCCTGCCGTGCCCGACCGAGAACTGCTTGACGCGGCTAGATGCGGACGCCGCGCTGTGGCGGAGTCGTCTGGCGACAGATGCGCCGCGCAGCTGCGCCAAAGCAGCGAGGCCGTCTGAGGCCCTAAATAGAAATGTGCACTCGTAATTAATGCCTGCACGTCGATTGCTACCCTCCTAGTAGGGATCCCCAACACTGGTGCATCGATGAAGACGACGGCGATGTCGAAGCCGGAAAAAGTCGGGATTCAACGCGACTTGCCTCGCGACTTGGCCCCCGCGATGACGCCGACGCGCAGTGCGTCGCGACGTGCCAGACAGCGAAATCGATTTTATTAATAAGACGTTCGAGAGCTTCACTTACGGTGCAAAAACCATTGGTTACGCGGGTGGCTTTCGATTTTCGGGGGGCCCCCAACGGGGCGGCGGCCGCGCCGCGTGGTGAGTCGGCGGGGGCTGGGGCTCGCCGCGCGGCTTTGGAACTCGATCCCTTCTCCGAGGATGTCTCGGGCGACAGGGGCCCCCTGGGCCCCGCAACCGTGCGGTGGCGGACCGTGCGGCGAGGTCTTGGGGGATTTCGAGGTCACCGCAAGGCGCGTCGCCGCGCCGCTATTGGACTCAAAAGATTTGCAGTGGACGAGGGCCCCGAGGGCGACCGCTTCAATGGCCTCGTGGAGTTCGCAATCGTAGGGGGCTCGATCACGGTCAACGCTGGAGACTGAGCGACGCATCACCCGCCTCATCGTCTTCGCCAGTCGACGCGACGCATGACTTAGACTTGCCCGCGACGGCACCTACATCTGTGCGCCGCCAGCCACTACCACGCAGCCCCGAACAAGGCCCGCGCCTGGAAACATATTTGATTTACACCTTCGTCGAGGCCGAGGCGGCGAGGCGAATTCATCGATTGCGATCCAGCGCCAGACGAATCCACGCCTACTCCTGATCCAACTCCCGACTAGCAACGTGTCAGATTGGCGCTCCTGGGCTGGGTGTTTCCGAATCGTGCCCGCTCTGCTAGACCCCCGAACCGCGCCCTGTCGATTGGGCGCGCAGATGTCGATGGCCGCGTGGCTACTTCAGCGCCGCCATGTCCAGCAACTACATCAGGGTTTCGGGCCACGAGGGAGGGAACCCTGTTCATGATGGATGCAGACGAGGAACCACTTCGACCCTCCCGAG